CCCCCCCCCCCTCCGAAAATATCAAGTGCGACCCCCCCCCCCCCCCCCCCCCCCGGAGAAAAAAGTCTGGAAGAAACACTGCTTGATACTAACAGGAACCACTGACCGACCCTACGCCTTACCTCGGAAAAATAACTATAAATCCATTATTTGTATATGTATATATATATATATATATATATATATATATATATATATATATATATATATATATATATATATTGTATCGATTCAGTATAGAAAAACATCTAGATCTAGATCGTTACTAAATGCGAATTCGGTTTATTACTGGCACTTAGTCTTGTAAGTCCTTAATACAATCTTTATTATTTTGTTCATAGTGTTGGGGCGGGGGGCTCGGGTTTGCAAATCGTATTGATATTACGAATATTTTATTATAAACACGTCCATTTTACAACACAAACAAATATTCTTAATAGTGAACTGGATAAGTTGTAATGGGAATACCAAGTTACAAGTCGAATAATTAAATTACTAGTCAAGACGAACTGACTACATTAGGTTCAGAGGCGTAAGCGACCCTTCCCGGCCCCCGGGGACAAACTTTCGATTTGCACCCCCCTCAAACTTTTGATTTGCACCCCCCCCCCTCAAACTTTTGTTCCCCCCCCCCCCCCCCCACTTATTAAAAATTTGCACCCCCCCCCAAACTTTCGATTACTTTTTTCAACCCATTTTGGCGCCCCCTAAGGTCGGCGCCCGGGGACATATGCCCCCCCCTGCCCCCCCCCCTCCATCGCTACGCCTCTGCTTATGTTAACTTTCAGAGATATGGTAATACCATCAGCACTCAGTACTAAAATAGTTTTAACGCGACTTGCCGTATTATGCTTGATCTAGTATTTCATTGAAAGACAATAATAGCAACGCTGACCTTTTAAACAACAACGTAAACAAAATCTAAAAATAACTTATTTTTCTTACAAATCATTAGGCTTAGCGTGAATATAAGGTAAATTAATTTAAATATAGACCAGTGTTTGTTCTAATACAAAGATACAACAGATGCTTTTCTATTTATAATAACTCATATACTCATAATCATCTAAAAGTTAGGCTAACTTAGTACTGTTTTATCGTATTCAAATAAGACGATTCCGTTGGCAATGTTCAACCTGACTTTTTACATGATTTACATAAACATATTTCTAGTAGTTTCCCTTTTGTCTGGTCTTAGATTCGTTTAAAATATTTACATAACTATTTGTTTTGTAATTACAACTTATCAGCATGTTGTGGTTATTAAAAACTCACCAGAAACTGCAGAAGTAAATAATATATCCACAAGAAAGAAACTTATCCCACACCACGTATATTTTCCAAGTAAAAGTGCCTAGATCTAGGCTCGAAGCAAACGATAAACAGGGGAGGGCATCGGGATTGCTGCGCGTGAGCTATTTTTGGATCCGCGCGAAAGATAACACTAGCACGTGTGGGGGAAACCTTCTGGCTAGGGCGGTGAATCACCGCCGCGGCGAATATACAGGAGAAGGTAGCTCACATAGTACGTGTGCTACGGTGAACCCACTAGCAACTCACGTCTGTTTTGCTGCAGCGGTTAACACCTTTACGACAAGATACGGAGCGAAATGAAAACTACAGGCGTTTATCGCCATTCGTACGCTTGGATGGCGTCTGGTAAATTAAATTCAACCTTTAGAATACCTAAAGAATGGGGTGACTCCGTACAAAAGCACAGAAGTGGTTGCACGGTTTGAATAATTAAAATTTTAAAATTTAAAAAAAATCGAATCCAAAATAGATATGCTTTGATAATCGACGAATTTTTAATTTACTTTGTATGTTATCAATTACCTATCCCGTTACTGATCTAACGGTCAAGCTATTTATTTGTTATAGGCTATTATAGGCTATTTTATTCTTGTTTCGATTCGGTTCAATTTTTAAAAAAATTATACGTATTCTTGTTTTTTAGAGGAAAAAAAAAATACTTAGATATCAACAGTAAAGGCTTATATAGGACGACGAGAAGACATCATAAACAGTGTTTCTTTCAGACTTTTTTCTCCGAGGTGGGAGGGGGGGGGGGGGGCACTTGATAATTTGGGGGGGGGGGGGGGGGGGGTTGACTTCATTTAACGGAGGTGGAGGGGGGCGGATAAGATGCCTGGAAGAAACGCTGATCATAAATTTAAACATCAGTATTAATATGTCGGTGGGGCGTATTCGATACCAATACCATTTTGCTAGTATTGTTAAAATTTTAAAATGAGCCCCCCATCTAAACCCAAACTCCAAACCTGAAGTAAACTGCCCGTGGATCTAATAATAGATATATAATCCTACCTCTGACTTTTAACAGCCAAACGGATAGTTTTTCAGAACCCACAACGTTACTATTTTGTCATATCAACCTGGTTCTTTTTTTTAATAAAACGCAGTGGCGTAGCCAGGATCGTCTCAAGGGAGGGGGGGCTTCCAATGTTTACCCGTGGACAAACTTTCGATTTGCACCCCCCCCCCCCTTCATACTTTTTAAATATATACCGAGGGGTCTATGGGGGGTTATCACCCCCCCTAAACCCCCCCCCCCTGCCTACGCCACTGATAAAACGTACATATTAGCTTACTTATTTACACTTCGACTTTGTATAAAACTAAAAATAAAAGCCCAGTATTTAATTTAAGAATGTACTCAGTGTGCTAATAACGAAAGTAAAGGGAGTCTTCTGTTATTATTTCTAGCAGACGAAGCGTTAGATTGAGAGGGGGTCACGCCCAGAGAGTGGGGGAGTTGGTGGCATTACTGAGGGTATAAGGTAAACACATGCACCGAATGCCCCTCCTTCTCTCCTGGCGTCGTGTCTAGTCTGTTTAATTTCAGTCTGGACAGAACTAGGTCTATCAGACACGTACGAGCATCTCTGTACGGTCACACATACACACACAGATACTCCCACAGAAGCACATACACACGGACACTCTACCATTTACACATACTCTCAATAAAACACACGTTATGCATGCCATTTTCATGTTAATTACACGTCCCTTTTTCATACATTATTTTCACACGTCAGTTACACAATATTTAAACACAGTCTTACTTTCAGGCATCTGTTCGGGGTCACCACCCCCCCCCCACCCCAGAAACAAGTCTACCTCCCCCCCCCCCCTCTCCACACAGATCGAAATAGAATTTATACTATATATATATATATATATATATATATATATATATATATATATATATATATATATATATATATATACTATTACCGTGTCTGTTCCCCCCACTTCTGGATATTTATTTAGTCTGCCCTCCCGAAAGTTTCAAGCCTCCCCCCCCCCCTGGTGAAATAAACCGGGAATTATCTCCCCTAAACTTTCTCAAATATTCTTATATAACTTGGAATATAGACATGATTTTTAATTACTTAAACTTTTAAAAATAGTATAGAATCTCATAGAAAAATATTATTAGTACTTTATAAATGTACATGCGTTTTTTTTTTGAGAAATCGGAAATAGCGTAAATTAGTACTTCCGGTCAACGGAAATTACTCAAAATTTGACAGAAGGTAGAGAATTAGATCTTTTACTTACATGTGAAATTTCATTTATCTATTTGAAATAGTACTCAAGTTATAGGCTTTTGAAAAATTCAAAGTAGAAAAAGTACCACTTCCGGTTATCGGAAATCGCTCAAAAGTTGATAGGGATCTACGATTTTGATAAATTACTTATATATGAAATTTCATTAACTTAGCTCTTAGTAAAAGTTCTAATTTTCTGCCTTCTATCTATCAAATTTTGTTTAATTTTCGTCGACCGAAAGTAGTAATTTACGCTATTTCCGATTTCTCAAAAAAAAAAAAAAACGCATGTGAATTTATAAAGTACTAATAATATCCCGCACTATTAATTAAGCACATTTTATTTGGCGTTCACTTGGTGTGCCATCCCCCGTAGTGTTATATAAGAGTATTCGGGAAAGTTTAGGGGAGATCACTCCCGGTTTATTTTAATTATTATTAGGCTACTAATAATGCAGCATCTTTTTTAAATAGGGGAGACTTTTTAAATAGGGGAGACCACTCTAAATATAGATCTAGTAAATAATACGATAGGTATTAAGAAAAATGGCAGCTACTTTTATTAGGTAATAGATCTAATTAACTTTGTCTTACTAAGCCTACTAAATTTTAAATTAGCCTGTGAATAGTTTTTTTTTTAAATTACTTTACCTACAAGATTATATTATCTAGATCTAGATCTAGAGTCTAGAAGCCAGGGTCTAGATCTAGATCTAGTCTAGATTCTAGCCACGATTTTTTTCTGCTACTGCTAAGGAAAACCAAGCAGTTGAAGTTAAAAATTATTTCCCGCTAAATTATCCAAGCGTGGTTAGATCTAGTCTAGATTTTCTAGGTCTCTATAATACTTTATATAGATCTAGATTCTAGATCTAGATTCCAGAAATGAAACAGACAATAGGAGTTTGACTTTTTGTAATGTGTTTTTAGATGGTTTGTTCTGTGTCTAGCCATCTTTACTTTCCCTAGTCAGGTGTCCATCATAGCTGGTTGATGTTATACTTTTTTTCTAAATTAAAAACAAAACAAAATACCTGAGTGGAATATCATGTATTATGTATTATATAAAATCGTGCATAGAATATAGAAAATAGTGTCATGTTTTAATTATTTAGCCATTTTTATTATATCCAAAATAGGACCCTAATGGAAAACTATGAATAAAGCACTTGTGTTACGATGAGATCACAGCACCAACCTAGAGGCCAGGCAGTGGGATAAATAGTTTACTCTTCAGTTGTCATAACACTGAGAAAAAGCCTCCATTGTAAAGGTGTTTGACATAGGTGTTATGTTAGGCTTATTGTGAAAAGAATATGCATACCGCATAAGTCAGCATTCATGTTTTTGAAGAACATTTTTATTTATGTTTCTTGATTATTTCTGGAAATATTATTTTAAAAAAAATTTAATTACTTAGTTATGGAGCTAAAGGATAGAAAAAAAAGAGAAGCTGATATAGAAGTATTACCAAGTGTTTTAGAGATCAAGCAAGAACTACATGTGGACAGCCATCCATATATTGTCAATATAATTTCATCTGAATACATAAAACAAGAGGAGTTTACAGAAACTGATGACACAAAAGCAAATGTATTGTCAACATGTGAAAACAAAAATCATGATTTATTATCAGAATTTACAACACATGTAGACAACAAACCAGATAGACTTGATTTATTTTCAGTTTTTGAAGATATAAAACCTGATGGTTTAAATGCAGGGCTAAGCCTATCACTAGAGACAACTCTAACTGACAATATTTCTAATATAAAGACAGAGTTATCAACTGATTTATCAGAGCTAAAGAATATTCAGATAAACAACAATGAAAATCAAACATCAAATCAGGTTGAATTATTAAAGCAGTGTAAGAAGAAAAACTTAAAATCTTCAATGTTTAAAACTCTTCTAGGAAAATGTAAAGAATCACACACAAGTGTGAGGTCATATGAGTGTAATGTGTGTCATAAAAAGTTTGCTACAAGAAGTAAACGAAATCAACATAAATCTATTCATTCAGGAGAGATGCTATGTGGGTGTTATCTGTGTAATCAAAGGTTTCCCTTAAATAGTAAACTCAACCAACATGGACAATTTCACAAAATAGTGAGAGCACAAAAGTGTGCTGTGAACCATATAATGTTAGGTTCAAAGAAGAAACTAAATCAACATAAAGCAATTCATTCAGGACAGAGGCTGCATAAGTGTGATATTTGTCATATAAAGTTTACTAGAAGAAGTAACCTAAATAAACATAAAGCTACACATTCAGCAGATAAGTCACATGACTTTAATATGTGTAATAAAAAGTTTGCTACTAGGACTCTAAAACAACATAAAGCAATTCATATAGGAGAAAGGTTACAAGAATGTGGAGTCTGTCATAAAAAATGTACTACAAGAGGTAATCTAAAACAACATATAGCTATTCATTCAGCGGAAAAGTCACACAAGTGTGATGTATGTCAGAAAAAATTTGCTTCAAAGAGGAATCTAAATCAACATAAAGCAATTCATTCAGGAGAGGGACTACATGAATGTGATGTATGTCATAAAAAAAATATTAACAGGACCAACCTTATTAAACATAAAGCAATTCATTCAGCAGTAAAGTCACATGAATGTGATGTATGTCATAAAAAATTTACTTCAAAGACTCATCTAAATCAACATAAAGCAATTCATTCAGAAGTAAAGCCGCATAAATGTGATGTGTGTCATAAAAGGTTTTCTAGAAAGTCATACCTAATGGAACACAGAGCAATTCATTCAGCAGAAAAGAAACATGAGTGTGATGTATGTCATAAAAAATTTGCAACAAGGACTAACCTAAATCACCATAAATCTATTCATTCAGAAGAGTGGCTACATGAATGTGATGTGTGTCACAAAAGGTTTTCTAGAAAGAGGTACTTAGTGGAACACATAGCAATTCATTCAACAGAAAAGTCTCATGAGTGTGATCGATGTCATAAAAAATTTGCTTTAAAGAGGAGTCTAAAGCAACATAAAGCAATTCATTCAGGAGAGGGGCTACATGAATGTGATGTGTGTTGTAAAAAGTTTTCTAGAAAGTCCTACCTAAAGCAACATAAATTAATTCATTCCACTGAAAAGTTACATATGTGTGATGTATGTCATAAAAAATTTGTTTCAAAGAGTCATCTAAATCAGCATAAAGCAATTCATTCAGCACAAAAGTTATATGAGTGTGATGTCTGTCATAAAAAGTTTACCACCAGGGGTAACCGAAATCTACATAAAACAGTTCATTCAGATGAAAAGCTATATGAATGTGATGTGTGTCATAAAAGGTTTTCTAGAATGTCATACCTAAAGGAACACAGAGCAATTCATTCAACAGAGAAGTCTCATGAGTGTGATGTTTGTCATAAAAAATTTGCAACTAGGACTAACCTAAATCACCATGAAGCTATTCATTCAATAGAGAGTTTACATGAATGTGATGTGTGTTGTAAAAAATTTTCTAGAAACTCCTACCTAAAACTACATAAATTAATTCATTCCACTGAAAAGTTAAAAGAGTATGATGTATGTCATAAAAAATTTGTTGCAAAGAGTCATCTAAATCAACATAATGCTATTCATTCTGGTGAGAGGGTACATGAATGTGATGTGTGCCATAAAAAGTTTACTACCAGTTCTACTCTTATTACACATAAAATAATTCATTCAGCAGAAAAGTCACACGAGTGTGATGTGTGCCATAAAACATTTACTACAAAGGGTAACCTAAATATACATAAAACTATTCATTCAGAAGAGAAGCTACATGAATGTGATGTGTGTCGTAAAAAGTTTTCTAGAAAGTCATATCTAAAGAAACATAAATTAATTCATTCCACTGAAAAGTTAAAAGAGTGTGATGTATGTCATAAAAAATTTGTTTCAAAGAGTCATCTAAATCAACATAAAGCTATTCATTCTGGTGAGAGGGTACATGAATGTGATGTGTGCCATAAAAAGTTAAATACCAGTTCTTCTCTAATAAGACATAAAGCAATTCATTCAGCACGAAAGTTATATGAGTGTGATGTTTGTCATAAAAAGTTTACCACCAAGGCTAACCTAAATCGACATAAAACAATTCATTCAGCACGAAAGTTATATGAGTGTGATGTTTGTCATAAAAAGTTTACCACCAAGTTTAACCTAAATAAACATAAAACAATTCATTCAGCACAAAAGGTCACATGAGTGTTATGTGTGTCATAGAACGTTTGCTACAAAGATTTTCCAAAAATCAACATGAAGCTATTCATTATAGAAAAGTACCATATAAGTGTGATGTGCGTCATCAAGGGTTTTCTTAATATAAAAAAATAAAAACATAAAAAAAATTCATGTCATCGCATGAGTGATTTGTGCTATTAAAAGTTTGCTACAAGGATTAATCTTTATCAACACAAAGCAAGTTATACGGCAGAGGTTGCATGAGCGTAATAGAAAGTTTCTGTTGATAATTACTCTAAAATGCCATCAATTAATTGATTCAGAAGTAGGTCAAATTAAACATTTATGAATAAAGTATGTGTAAACAAACTCATTCATAAATAGATTAAATTATATTTTTATACTGTAAAATGCTGCAAGGGGGTCAACCTTTTATGATCTCCACAAAAATGTTATCCACTTTCAAAGATCCTCCCCTCCCTCTTTTTTTTCCATTTTTGATATACATGTATATATATATATATATATATATATATATATATATATATATATATATATATATATATATATATATATATATATATATGAAATTATTTAGATTTGTGTAAATTAATTCACAAAAAAAAAAGACAATTCATTGTGTGGGTATGGAATTACCCTGTGTGTTGAATTACTACATGTTACCCTATCTGTTTTATGTTTGCTTAAAAATGTTCAACACATACTTCGACTAAATAGGGGAGACTTTTTTTTAAATATAGATCTAGTAAATAATACAATAGTTATTAAGAAAAATGGCAGCTACTTTTAATGATCTACTTAACTTTGTCTTACTAAGCCTACTGTGAGAGAGAGTGAGCCTTAATATTATACTGTTAATGTAACTGATATAACTTTTAAAAATAATGTTTGAATATTTTAAAATTGCAAATAAATAATTAATACTTCTTTATTGTAAAATATATGTCAGCAAACTTGATATTCACAATCTTATAACCATGAGTTATTGACAAACAATAATTATTGGGAAAAATGTTTGAGGTACGTAAAAGATCCTCCATAAAAATAAACCATCGAATCAAACCCGTGATGCGATTTTATCGATTTATTCTCTGAAAGTAGTATATCATAGAAGACAAAACGTAGACAGCTGTTTATGTTATAGTAAGTTCAAAAACCAGAGGCCTAGCTAGGGCGCTTTTTCGGGACTAAAATCAGAAGAATTAAAAAAGGTGTTATGTTTGGCGTATTGTGAAAAGAATATGCATACCGCATAAGTCAGCATTCATGTTTTTGAAGAATATTTTAATTTATGTTTCTTGATTATTTCTGAAAATATTATTTTCGAATATTTTTTTTTAATTATTTATTTATTTATTAGTTATGGAGCTACAGAATAGAAAAAAAAAGAGAAGCTGGTGTAGAAGTATTACCAAGTGTTTTAGGGATCAAGCATGAACTACCTGTGGATATCCAGCCAGATATTGTCAATATAATTTCAGCTGAATTCATAAAACCAGAGGAGTTTACAGAAATTAATGACACAAAAGCAAATGTATTGTCAACAGTTCTACTCTAATTAGACATAAAGCAATTCATTCAGCATGTAAGTCATATGATTGTGATGTTTGTCATAAAAAGTTTACCTACAGGGGTAACCTAAATAAACATAAGACAATTCATTCAGCACTAAAGGTCACATGAGTGTTATGTGTGTCATAAAAGTTTGCTACAAGGATTTATTAAAAAATCAACTTGTAGCTATTCATTATAGAAAAGTACCATATAAGTGTGATGTGCGTCATCAAGGGTTTTCTTAAAATAAAAAACTAAATTGACATAAAAAAATTCATGTCATGGCATGAGTGATTTGTGCTGCTAAAAGTTTGCTATAAGTATAAAAGTAATCTTTTCAACACAAAGCAAGGTATACAGCTAGGGTTGCATGAGTGTGATTTGTGTCAAGTAAAGTTTCCTTTAATAATGACTCTAAAATGCCATCAATTGATTGATTCAGGCAGACATAGATCAAATTAAACAGTTATGAATATATTTATAATAAAGTATGTATAAACAAATTCATTCATAAAATGATTAAATTATATTTTTAAAGTGTAAAATGCTATTTATGACGTCCACAAATATTCCGTCCAATTTTGACGAACCTCCACTCCCTCCACAAGCGCTTGGCGTGTAACATTTGGGTGAGCCTTTCGCAGTGTGTGACCCACCCAGCGCCACTTCCTCCTTCTTATTTGCACAGCCATAGGCTCCTGCCTAGCTTTCCTCCATAGTTCTATGTTCTGCACTTTGTCCTGCCATCTCAGTTTCAATATCTGTCTAAGGCATCTATTCATGAAGGTCTGTACTTCATAAATGGATAACCCCTAAACAATACAGACAACATGAGAATAAAGTGTTTCATAATAAAGTTAGCTTTTATCAAGCAAATTATTCAAGAGAGAGGTCAAATTTATTTTCTTTTTGTGTAAACAAAAATCTTGATTTCTTTCTGAGATCTTAAACTTGAAATAAATTAACACACACAAAAAAAACCCAGATAAACAATGCATTTTATCCATTTTAAAAATATAAAACCTGATGTTTTAACTCAAAGAAAATCTATTCCTTTGAGAAAATTATGGGACATTTTTTTTCCCAAAAAAAAAAAAGACTGTTCTGTGTGTCTTAGCAAGTTTACTTAAAAAAATCCTGTAAAATTTAAAAATAATTCATTCAGAAGAGAGGT